GCTGAATGGATTAATTATTCTGTCAACATTTACGGAGCATTCAGGGCTTACATAACCCACCCTGAGGGAATGTGCAAGTAAGATAAATACCTTTCTGTCCTTATCTTATTTGAACTTCCTGCAGCTTAGGACACCCCGGGCCACGGCCCTGTGGACATTTTCTCATTCCTTGATTTCTGTAGCTCTTTTCTCTGGTTCACTGCCCAACTTTCCGATCTTCTTTCCTGCGGTCTCGACTGCACTCATCATCTATCCCCTCTCCCCAACTGCTCTCCATCCTCTGGTTTCCATCTTGGTGAGTGGCCCCAGCACGCAATAAATGGCTCAAGTGATGAAAAAGATTCAGGGCTGAGAGTAAAACCAGGCCCCTGGGGGCTGTGGGGCAGCTGCGTCCGCCCTGGAATCTCACTTTCAACTGTGACTTTCTAGCCCATTATAATGAGAGTATCGATAGCTGCTATTTATTGAGCCCTTTCAAACTGCTAAATATTTTACACACATCATCTGATTATCTTGACAAGACCCCTGTAAGGAAGGTATTCCAACAATTAAACCATTTAATCTTCCTGGAAAAAAAAAACAAAAACAAAAAAACCACTGAGCGAGGTACCACAGCTGGCCCTTGGTATGGTTAGGGGATTGGTTCCGGGATCCCCGCAGACACCCAAATCGACAGATGCTCGTGTCCCTCATGTAAAATGGCATAGTGTTTGCATATACATCCAAGCACAGCCTTCTGTCCACTTTCAATCATCTCTAGGTTACTTATAACACCTAACACAATGTGAATGCTATGTGAGTGATTGCACTGTATTGTTTAGGGAATAATGGCAAGAAAAAAAACAATATGTGCATGTTCACTACAGGGGCAACCGTTATAGGTCTGGTCTAACCATGCACCACATGCCAGCAACAGTGGAAGTTTGTGAGGGAGTATTTTCTGACCTCGGATGGTTGAATCCTGGATACAGGATCCAGAAATAACAGAGGGCCCACTGTGTTCTTATTCCTGTTTACAAATGAGGAAACTAAGGCACAAAGAAATTCAGTAATCTGCTTAAGATAACACAGCTATGAAGTGGCAGAGCTGGCTGGGAACCCTGGGAACCCTTGTTCTCGGCCCCTGCGCCGCCTCTGCTACCTGTGTGGAATGCTGTTGAATGGGGCAGACTTAACACCTGTGTGCCCACACTGACATGTCAAGTAAAATCTGCATGAATAGTGCAAAATGAGGATTTAGGAGAGGGGCCAGGGGCAAGATGCACCAGCTTGTGAAGAGCCATGTCATTTTTTTTTGTTTTGTTTCATTTTCTGATACATAATGGAAAATGGCTACTAACTGACAGACCCAACCACAAGAATGAGCTTAACATTAAGCATGACTCAGGAGCAAAATCTCTGGCTTGAGAGAGCTGGCGTGCACGGGTGTTAGTGAGAGAAGTGAAACAGTAATCTGGAGCTGAAGTGATTGTGAAGATCTCAAATCGTGATCTGGAAACATCATTAGGGGGAGTACATCGCCCAAACTCCCCACTCTCTGTCTTTGCGTTTGGATAAATCAAGCAGACAGCCAGACATGGAGTCAGCCTACAACACTCCCCGAGTACGTTTCATATGAAGTACTTTTTCCAGCGCCGTATAGTCTCAAGCTGTGGATGTAGAATAAGTACTGTCTTTTTTTTTTTTTTAGTGTTTACAAGATTGGGTTCTCAAAAAGAAAAGTGTTCTGTAAATGCCACACACTATCATATCATAGGAAAAGTGATTTGAAGAATGACAAAATCACCACTCCAAAATTCCACCCCAGAGTTTAGGAGTAAACAGATCTGTCCTATTAAAGAATTCAAATCATTTAGCGGCAACTGCTGCTCTATCGTCAGTGTCCCACAGCTGGTCGCAGCCTCCGGGGACTGTGTCTGAGCCACAATATTCAAGTGGAGACTCTCCCTTGTGTGTGAATCCATAGGATTCTAACCAGGACTCCCACCCCGCCCCAACTCCTGGTCCATCCAGGCAAGTAAACAAAGGGAACACCAAGTGAGCATGCGTGTTTACATAAACCACAAGGCCGTGCAAACAAACTCTTAACTGGTTAAAGGGCATCTTATTAATGACTCTTATTTCTTGCCATTTTTAATGAGCTTTACCCATCTAAAATCTTGTCCATGTTCTTTAAAAGTCCTTATCCCTTTTCTCCTTATTGCTTCTCACAAGCGTTTCTCCCCCTGCGTAACACGCCCAAGTCTCTCTTGTGTAACTCCCATATCCTTTTCATCGCTGAGTGTATAGGTTCTAAAACAATGTGTGTAGGTTTTTAAAGAAGAAACGTAAATTTTTCCTAGTGTCTGCAAACTGCCCATTAGCTGAGAATTTCTATTCTTTCCATTAAGGGGTTAAAATGGATTCTCTTTTGTAATGTGCTCTGCAAATATATTTTTCTTTCACTTCTGGGGCTCCACTTTGGAAATGACAAGCTGCAGTCCCAACATTCCCTCTTGGGGTTTTGCAGAGATCAGGCGGAAATGGACTCAATCATTGGCTAGAAATTGAATTTCAGTGAGGGAGAAAAAGATGCTTGTTATTTAGCAAGTCAACAAAGAACATATTCTAGGTTCTCATTATACATTTCTAAAATGCAATGTTAGTTTGAAAACAAACAAATAGGCCACAGGAGAAAAAAAGAGAAAATTCTACAGAGGAAAGGCCAGTATTAAATGTCACCGACTATTTTGCTGTTCTCTTTGTTCTTAGTTTTCAAATACTGGATGGTGGGTGTTGACCTTCATCTCATCCTGTTCTCTATGCCAGGACCCAGAACAATGCACAGGTATTATTTATTTAGTTAACTTCATCATTAAAGCTGCCAAAGAGGATCCAGGGCGGAACCAACATAGGGTTGCAGGTCCATAAGAAGGACTAAATTAAATATTGTACAGCAATGACCTCGTGGGTTTTCACAACCTCCACAGTAAGTAGATAAGGAAACTGAAGGAATAAAGGAACAAGCATGTCCAACACTTATGGAAAATCTGTAGCAGGAGAGGCACAGAGCTCAGTCATTGATCAGACATGTAAATAAGCTAACGTCAATACCCTCCACACAGTCGCACTCTAGTGGATGTGGCTGACTGAAAAACAATAATAAAGACACAGAGTGCAATGGAAGAAGAGAGGCCAGGATGACTTGTAAGGACTGGAGGTTTTGAAAGGGTTTTTTGGAGATGGAGTCTGAGACTTAATGGGTGGGGAGTGTTCTACAGAGACGGCAGGATGGATGAAGGTACAGTAAGAGCAAAGGCATAGAAAAGATGTAATATGAGAATCTATTAGTTATCGTATTGGGGTACAGGGCAGGGCAGGGGTAGAAGGGAGATGATGTGTTCAGAGAGTTTACAGATGTCCTCAAGTGCTAACTCTGGTAGCAATGTACAGAAAAGTAGGTTGGCAGGGAACTAATTTAGGAGGCCATTGCCATGGTTCAGGAAAGAGGTGATGGAGCTTGGGACTGAGTAGAAGTAGGAGTGTAAAGGCAGTGATCGCAGATGTAGAATCTATTTAATTTGGCAACTGATTGGGCATGAACTACAAAGGAGGAAGATGGGCTGAAGACGATTCTGATGCATTCATTTGAACCAGTGAACCCGTGACGCTTGAGCCATCCTTGGGCCAGACAGAAGGGACTTTCTGCTAGGGAGGTGGGGATGTGTGTCTATAGATCAGGACAGATACTGATTTAGAAATCAACCTCAAGGATATGACAGTTGAATCCACCTGAGTGGAAGAAATCACCAAGGATCAGAGTATAAAGAGGAAAAAAAAAAAGACAAAAAGAAAACCTTAACATGCAGAGAGGCAGGAAAGGAACAGGAGTCACTGATGTCACCAGTCCCAGAGGGAAGTGGCTGATGCAAGGTGACAGAATTCAAGGAAGACAAGTTTCCAGAAAGAGAGCTGAATGCGTCTGAGGGAGTGAGTAAGCGATTTCTTGCGGTCGCAGAACTCACCTCCAAGCTCCCAAACTCTGCACATACCTATTGAATTATCACAGATTAAAAACAATGTGGTTTCTCAAGAGGAGCCTACGCCTCACTTTACGAGTGGTTAACACGGGACTCTGTCATTAAAAATAAATTGCAGGTTCCAATCTCCTGCATTAAACTTTCTCTGCAGCTCACACCCCTGTCCTTCCAGTGAGCTTTTTAGATAACTGTTATTAATCAAGTCTGAGGCCTCACGTGCTCTCCTTCACTCTCGTGGTATTACGCCGTGGTTACATGCAAGAGCTCCCAGGGTCATAAGGCTGGCTAGACTCCGATCTAACCTAGGCTTGTTCCCTAACTTCCCTAGCCTGAGCTTCCTCGTTTGCAAGTTGCAAATGGTCTTACCTATCACAGTTGGGAAGGGTGCATGAGAGACTGCAAGTAAAACTCTCAGCATACTGACGTGGAAGCCTCAACTCTTTATTGCTGTTACAGTTTTGTAATCTCCCTGAGGGCAGAGGATCACTCCAAACAACGCTATTCCCTAAAGTGTGTGGCACCGAACCAGGGACATGTGAGCCTCGTCCTGCCAACCGTCAGGGAAACGTCATTCGCGGCAAGACGGATAAAGAGCTGACCAGCTCAGGGAAGGAAGGGCTGGCCGCAGGGAGCCGGGCAAAGGCGGATCCCGAGAACCGCCCGTGACCCTCCGAGGGCCACCCGACCCAGGATGCAGAGCGCCCACCCCGAGTGGGAACTCAGCTAGGCGGAGTCGGAGTCGGGGTGCCGGACCTCCAGGGAAGAAGCAGTGCACGCTGGGACCTGTAGTCTTCAGTCTCCAAGTTCACGGGTCGGAGGAGGGCCCAAGCGCCAGAGCCGTCCGCAGTCCCGCCTTTTGTCCACGTCTCCTGTCTCCGGGCCAATGCGGCCCCCTGCCCCCGGAGCCAGCCCCTCTGCGCTGCGGCCCCCATTGGTCCTGAGGCGCCCTACCCGGAAGTAGCGCCGGGGGAGGCGGTTTCCTAGACTACGACACCGGAAAGCTGGGGGAGGTGCTCCGGCTGGAAGGGCGGAGGGTGCTGGCAGCGCTGGCGCTGGCGCTGGGGACCTGCTCGGCGGCTTCGGGAGACCGTCCGGCGACGGCGACAGCTCGCTTTCTTCCGCATCCCGCCCTCGGCACGGCTCGCAGTCCTCTTGCCACCTGCGTCCGGCAATGTGTCCCGCCGGCCGGGCGTAGCCGCTGCGCGTGCGCGGAACCACGGGGCCATGAGCGAAGCCGGTGGCGGCCGGGGCTGTGGGTCCGCGGTCCCCCAGCGAGCACCATGGAACTTGTTGGCGACGACGGCCGCGCTGTACCTAGTGATGGCCACGTCGGTGTGGACGGCTGGGGCCGCGCCCATGAGTAGGGAGGAAAAACAGAAGCTTGGGTAAGGGTGCTTGGCAGACTGGGGTGGGTTTCCTTGTGTGCCTGACCACAGGTGCCTGTCATTTCGAGCCAGGCATTTAGTGGCCTCGCGTCGCGATGGGATGTTTGTGGCCTCCAGAGGACCCCGGCGGGGTGGACAGGTTCCGGGGAGGTGGGGGCCGCCACCTGCGTCGTGACCCCAGGGGACTGTAAGGGTGTCGCCTTGGTCGTCGGTGACATGTGTAGGTTCCTTGAGGCCAGCCGTGTGTCGACGCGGCTGCCATGTCAGTGGCCCGTGAAGTGGGCTACAGCCTCTGTTGCTGCGCGGGAGAATCCTGCGGTTGTGTGTCCTGTGAGATATGATTGGATTTCTCGCACAAGTGAGCTCCCCTCTGGGAAAATGTTGCTGATCTTACAGTAGTTGAGGAAATATGTTTGCACCTGTTACGGAGAAAGAGGGCGGTCATTGGCACTTGGGCATGACACGTTTTACCGTTTCTTGCACTGCATATTCACAACAGAACAATATTCGGTGGTGTTTCCAAAAGCCCCAATTAAGTATACCTATTCACTTTACTCCAAATAGTTTTATCAGTCTGAAAGTGTCATAAACTTATCAGTTATAATTATAGAATTTCAGAGTCAATGTTCCCAACATATACTGGGTCCCAGGAATGTGTAAGAAAAAGCCAAGAACCTGTAGAAAATGGGCAAAGGGCTTGAAGGTTTAACTCATACAAGAAGAAATGCAAATGATCAATAAACATGAAAAGTGACTCAACCTCATGAATGTGAAAGAGGCATCTTAAAGCAGTGAGACAGCTGGTTTTTTAAATAATCAGATTGATAAATACAAAACATATGGATAGAGCACTTGGCTAGTTGAGGTGTGAGAAGTAAACCTTGGTGGGAGTGATTTGCTGTTAACTGCTGAAACTTAAATTGTATGTACTCTGATTCAGTAATCCCACCTCCAGGACTCTATCCTGTAGAAATACAAGTGCTGTTAATGTAGAGGTAGGTATACAAGGGTGTGCATTTTGAAAGAACAAAATTGTTCCTTGGAGTGACATATTATGGAATGATGTTTAGACATTAAGGAGGAGGTAGGTCATTGGAAGGCTATCCAGGATGTATTATCCCAAGACCAACAGCAACAAAAAATATTGTAGAATAATATGTATAGTACCTTCCCATTTTTTTTTTTTAAATAGGAAAGAAATTGTCTAAGCTCAGAAAAACGTAGAAAGACGATTACCTTCAGGGGTTGGGAGGTCAGGCGAAACCATCAGGTTTTACTTTATATACTTCCTATTGTTTATATTGTTGCAAGGGTCTTGTATTTTTAAGTAAAATAGCAATAAAAGACCTTGGTGAAAAAAAAGATTAAATATCAGCTATTAAAACAAAATCACCACTAACCTCTAATAAGCATCTTTAATTTTCTCTTTTGAATTTAATGTGTCACTGGTATTGAAAACTGTATGTGGTGCCAGGCACTTCCATGTTATCTCTGTAATCCGCCCTGTTTCTTAATGAGGTGGATGTGATCCCCATGTTGCAGATTTGGAAATAGAGACTCAGGGTTGACTTGTTCAAAGTCATTGAGCTACTAAATGGTAGAGCCAGTATTCAAACCCGTAAGAGTTGGAGAAAGAAGCTTCAAGCAAGTATCTTGTTTGACCACCCCTCCCGTCTCCGTTTTCTATTAAAATCTTCTAGTTGACGAATATGTCACTTTTGACCCGAGTTAATTTTCAACTGGAAAAACCCAACCAATGCAGATCAGTTTTGAGATCATTTGTGAAAGGAAAGTTACAATAACTCAGGCTTGTTGATTTAGATTTCTTTATAATATGGTAAGTGTGGAATAAGAATTTAGGGCTATAAACTACATATATACACAATTGCTTGACTGCTTTTCCCTCTGGAAATTTTCAGCAAATGAACCCTTGATTCATGAAGTTTACCTGTGGGATATGCGTAAAGCCCAAAGAATGATTTATGATAGAAAGCAGAATTCCCCACCCCTTTTCTCCTCCCCTGGAATCAAATTGGCAATAAAGACTGGAATTATCCAGAATAGTAAGCGGTTGAATAGTTTCTTGAAGTTTATAGTTCCTGGAATTATTTACCTAGTCCTATGTAGCCTTCACCTTCCTGGAACAACTTATCTTTTGCTTTTGTGTTTTAAATGTTACAGCAGTTCATACTACCTTTTCATATAAAAGAAGTATAAAACAATCCAGTTTCTGTAGCACGTTGGCAGGCAATGTAACTTTAGAAAAAGCTGACTTATAGGAATTATTTAGAAATGAAGAAAGAGACATAATTTTTGAACTATGGATCTGATTTCCAGTATATTTTAATTGGATCTGTTAAATAGATATACATCTTTACAGAAACACTTTTTGTTTAATATAGTAATTACCCTACCATTCTGTATTTAAATAGACTTTGTTATGACTTTTATGTTAAAGTAAGAGAGAAGGTTAACTGGACATTAAGTATCTTCAGTTTGAAGTATGTGTTGTGGAATTTGCTGGTCATGTGCTGTATAACTGTAAGGACTGAAAAATAATGTGTCCTTGTATGCATTCATAATATACTCATAGTCTTGAAAATTGAATGCTTGCAAAGTGGGTCAACAGGTTAAAGCTTATGTTTTCCGTAGTACATATGTCTGCGCACTGCCATTGACACAGGAATTTCTGCTTCTTGGTAACAATCTTGTATTTTAGTTCAGGGGAAGGAAAAAGAATCCCTATATTCCATTTATTGATATCATTGCCTGAAAGGGAAATTTTAACTTCTCATATGTTTTTGGTTTATTAGCTGATTAGAGATATCTTTATCACTTGCAAGACAATGAATGTCTAGAAGAATTCTTTAAGATACTTGGTAATTTTCTTAGATAAGTCAATCTATATCTTATACATATAAACACAAAGAATTATGTTTTAGTAAAGGGATAAAGTCTTATTTTTGGTGAGTAAGTGTTGCTGAACAATTAATATAAAAAGTTGTCAGGACTAAGTTTATTCACTTCACAAGTTTGATTTTTGATTTCGTGGCTATAGGATCTGGAAATTAGTCCTTTTCTGTTTGCTAACTTTATTATCACCAGTATTTCATCATCCATGATTACAGTTTTTAAACTGACAGTTGCAATATAACACACCCAGTCATCTCCTCTAACACTTCTGCAATTCTTGCCATTAGGTACTTGGGAATCATAGTAAGAGTTAATAAGGTACTATTAAATATTTTTTCCCTTCCTAATTATTGAGAAACCTAAGCCATAGCATTAACTTTTACAGTTTTTCCGATAGTTCTCAAGTCCCCAAACTTGAGAGCGTGTAATTGGAGGCTGATCCTTGCTTCCAGCCTTGCAGATTTGACTTAGTAAATCTGGGGTGGACATCAGAAATCACCATTTTAAACAGCCAGCTTGGGGATTTTGACAAACAGCCAAAGCATGCAAATCTCTTTTTGAGGGTACGTTCTCTCATTTTAGAGGTGAATATTTTTTATTTGTTTTTTGACAGTTTTTTTTTAAAGGAGGTGAGAGTACACCATGAAGTCATCAAATGTATCTTCTGAAAACGTGACAGACTAAACACTCGTGATTTTATCCAGTTTGAGAGGAGAGGCAGAGGCTTGACAGTATCGCTATTTCCTATCAGTGCATACACACACCCACAACTGTCTTTGGTAGAACACACAGTGTAAGCAGTAGTACTTTCTTCTGGGGGCGCTCGAGCAACATTCCCCTTTTCTGGACAGATGTTAAATAATTTTGTTAAGAGGTAATTGTTTTTCAGCATCAGGTTTCCTTCTTTCTGCGTGGCATGCATCATTCATCAATTTTCTTTGGAAAAATTATAAGATGAATTTTACATGAGTCGCTGGGAAGGAATACTAATGGCCTGGCCCAGCTCTGGTGGGTCACGAAGGCTCACTGACCAGCGCTGGTGCACTTCCTGTCCCTTCCCGAGTAAATATTTTTATTTTTTTTTCTACTGGTGTGTGCTTGTGAAGGAACATTTACTTTTTGGAAGACAATAAGTAGAATATACTTAACTTTTTTCTCTTTCTGCTCTTTTAAAATTAGGAATCAAGTACTGGAAATGTTTGATCATGCTTACGGTAACTATATGGTAAGTAGAAAGCTTATCTTTATATTCCATTCATGTGAACAGATTATTATGTGAGCACAGTCCTGGGAATTTTGAAACCTGAATTAATAGAACTTTTTTTTTTAAACTTAAGTTTTTGAAAACTGGTGCAAACATAGGCTAACAGAGTATTCCTGGGAGTGGTTGTTAGAGGACCAGTTTATTGAATGGATAAGACTACGTCAAATTAGATTAGGAAACTGAACAGTTTCCCCTGATGCTGTCAGCAGTGTTCATTGAGTGCTTTCTGTAGCTGGACATTGTGGCTGCAAACATGCATAAGATGTTGTCTCTGGCATTAAGAGAGATTACTTTAAGTAAAAAAACATATATTTCCAGTCATGTTTTACATGCTCTATAAAGAAAACCATTACTTAAAAGAGACAGACTGTTTTGTATTCTTGTCCTCTCTGCCCAAATTATGTCCTCATGGTGGGCTTAGATTTGGATATATTTTGCTTTCTGATCCATACGGTTTTAGAATGTCTTAGGGCTTACTTGAGATGCAATAGCAGTTTTAGCTTTTCAGGATGAAAAAGTTCTGGACATCTGTTGCACAACACTTACTATACTTAAACCTGCTGAAGTTACAGTTAAAAATGGTAAATTTTATTTATTTATTTTTTACCACAATTAATGTAAGTCCCTCATTGTACAGGGAAGGTGAGAGGCGGGGAGGAGGGCCTGCTTCCTGTGGTGGGGCTTGGGGGGGTGCCGCAGCTGCGCCCCCCCCCCCATTTATCCCCGCTTCTTCCCTTCAGTAGACTGCAAAAAAAATTTTTTTTTAATTTTTAGAAAGATAACAAGCAGATTTTAAAGTTCAAAAGAAAATTTCATGTGTAATTTTGTAAAGACTTCAATCCAGTTATTCTGATAATTACTGCTTATGACCTTGTTTTTATTCCTTAAAATGTCAGGGTGTTTTCTTTTATGACTAAGGCCTGTAAAAATGTGATTGGGAGAGATTCGACAGAGAACTAACTGTAGTTTGCTTTTAAATATTTTTTAGGTGAGTTTGTGAATTCATTTTTCATTATGTATTACTCATATATCTTCATATATAAACATTATAATATACAAGTACATATACTTTTTCCAATTTTGTATTTTTTTAACACATTTGTTGGTCCTTGTTCCCTTTTATATTGCACATTTTTAAGAGTATATACTGACTTCTTAATGTTTTTAGAATATGATGGTGATGAAGTTTTAGGTACTTTTAGCTGTATTGAAAGCTTAAATTTATTTTGTAGGATCTCAGCCATTTCCTTCATACGCTTTTTTTCCAGAATCATTTATCTTATTTAAAAAGGGGGCTTCTGCGGTGAGTGGTACGTGTGGGGCCGTGCGCCTGCTCTACGTGCGGGGCAACGTCAAGAGGCTTTGGAAGCGTCATTTTTGGTGTCTGGGCAGCTGGCGGTTGTTGGTCCTGGTGCCCATGGGGATAAAGAAATCATTTATCCCTGATTAATTCAGTTTGGGCAAAGTGTAATTGAACAAGTTTCAGCTAATGGTTTTGAGGTGGCCAAGTGGGTCCATGACATACCCTCAAATCTTAGCCGTCTCAGAAATGCCTGCTTTTGGATCCAAAGTTAAATGAAATGCTGTATGGCTGCATCAGTTCAATACATCCCACTGTAAAGAGGGTCTTTTTTTAATGAGGCACAGTGTCTTTAATACCTTGTCACTTACTGGGTGAACAGCAGAAAGGTTTATCACTATACTTCTCCCGCCCTGGCAGGTGGGGCTCAGTGGATTGAGCATGGGCCTGCGAAACAAAGGGTCGCCAGTTCTACTCCCAGTGAGGGCACATGCCTGGGTTGCGGGCCAGGTCCCCACTGAGGGGCATGTGAGAGGCAACCACGCATTGATGTTTCTCTCCCTCTCTTTCTCCCTTCCCCTCTCTCTAAAAATGAATACATAAAATCTTAAAACCATATATACTTTTCCTATTATAGAATGCAATTAACAAGTGGGTTTGTGGCAGAGCAGGTGTTGAGGGCAGCCCTGAGGGGACTTCCTCTTCCAATTCCTGCTTGCTGGACCCTGGCTGGGTCACTTCCTATTACAACTACCCACTTATAAGACCTAAAGGAGAGGAATTTCAGCTCCAAAGACTGGCAACTACCGGAATTAACCCTTCCCTCCCTTTTCCTGGTAGAGGGACACCCATCTGCAATTGGTGCAATACTTATTTTAAAACGTTCACCTGTTTTACAACATGCGTGATCCTCATAGTGTACTTGTGTTATGCTCATTTTATGCGAGTTTTGTAAGCCAAGATTTAGTCTAGAATTTACGCTTCCCCTTTTCAGGTTCTCCACTAACATGAAACAGTTCTAAAATATTAAACACAGAGCAGGTGCCCTGTGTTTGTTATTTGAAGTCAGTGGAAAATTTTTTCTAGTTCTCACCCTCAGAAGCGCTGCTAGCGTGCTCTAGAGTAAAAGTGTGTGGGTTTTGGGGTGAGACGGGTTTGAGTTCAAATCCCATCCCGGTGGTTTCGTAGCCTGGACCCTGCACAGGCCATGTAACCCGGAGCAGCGTTATTCTGTGGGAAAGGGGGATGGTTGCAGAGGGCGTAAGATTATAGAGTATAAGGTTTTTTGGAAATAGGGAACCTTTTATTTAATATTTAATAAGTTCATCTCTTATATGTTCTGTACCTGGCACCATGACTGGTATGTAAATACTAAGTTTTTTTTTTTTTGAAAGAACTAAATTGAATTCTTGTGAAGAGTCAGTCAAATAGTGCTTAATTTTGTGCATTCAATTATTGTGATACATCTTTGCCTTTTAAATTCAAGGAAATCATTTAGTAAACTTCATTAAAAGTATAGGTTTATGGTGAATTGGGGGATATATAAGCTTTAAGTTTAATTTGGTTTTTAATAGTCAGTTGCCCACTGTGCTAAAATGCAAAGCCACCTGATTCATGGTGGGCCTTTAGTAAATGCTGAAAGCTTTTCATTTTTCACTAGGTTTTTTCATATTACTCTCCAATCTAGTCTACAATTAGAATAGATCCCTTTTACCTTCTTGGCTCCCAGGAAAACAGTGGTATTTTCCAGAGACAGGCAGTAGAGATGACTAAGAGCGAGAACCCTGGACGTGGAGCAGGACACCTGGAAGCGGCCCTGCCGCCTCCCAGCTGGGCCGCAGCCTCCCCAGGCTGTCCGCATCTCTTTGAAATGCTCCGCTTGCCTCACGGCGTTGTCGTTGTGGCGTTGTCGTTGTCGCGTTGTCGTAAGGGCTCAGCATGTGAGTGCTTCGCACTGGTGTCCTGCAAGTAGGACGCACCGTGTGAGTTGACTGCTGCCACCGACCACTGCTGCTTCTGTCACTGCTGCTGTCACGGTTCATTCTCTGCCTGAGGTTGAAACTGCCTCTTAACATTCAGCAACTCATTCCCCAGATTGTACACAGAACTTCCTTAAAATGTACACGTCCTTCCCTGTTCTAGGCATGTACTTTTTGAGGGTGTTTTTTTCCTTTTTGGTTCCCCAGCTTCTGTTAACACTGTTTCCCAGGAACGGTGCCCTGCCAGCCTTAGGTAGATTGCTATGTCTGTGCCATCCCTGGTGTTACATCCAGGAATTTTCTGATTTTATCAATGACGGGCATACACGTTAACATTGGAACAGCTATGTCTGACAAGTCTCTAGGCCCAGTCAGCCTGCAGTTTATTCCCAGTGAATTGCACAGATGGCTTTCTCTTTTCCCTAAATAACATGGAATTTGATTGTTTTGGCAGTCTTTGTGTGCCCTGCCTTAACCTCAGACTACAGGCACTTTAGGTCTTCTGTTCGCCCGTTCTCAGTGTTTGTGCTGAGGTCAGCCTGCAGACTAATTTAGACGACAGGAGGACATGCACCGAGGCTCCCAGCTGCAGAGCCGTGTTGGAGCTGAGCTCTGGTCTGATGCCTGTCCTCCAGCATTTTCCCTGTCCGCTGCAGACAGCGCAGTCAGACTGTGGTGAGCAAAAGCTGGACTTTGGTGGAGCCCTGAGCATTTCAAATGGACTCTAAAGGAGCATGCGCACTTCCCTTTGACTAGGAGAGTCGTACCTACCAACCGCTTCTGCAGAAACAGATGAGTCTTTTCATCCTTCAAGCCAAAGGAACTGTTCTGAAATGTATCTTCTTTCTGGATTTATGTGCATTTTCTTAGAACTGCTTTTTTCCTACTAATGTTTATTTTAAGACATTTTTATTATGGCAAAATGTTCATAACAAAATTTGCCATTTTAACCATTTTTAAGTGTACAGTTTTGTAGCATTTAGTACATTCGCATTAGGTGACCATCATTGTCTCTGGAATTATTTCATATTCCCTATTTGATAATCTGTACCTAATGTTTTCTTTTTATGGCTTGTTCATTAAAAGGAGTAATCCTGTAAATGAAGTAGTCTAGAAGTGGTACTGATGACTCGGAGGAGGGAAGATAAAAATTTGTCATTTTTGTGTGTGTGGATGATTGTGGGGCTACTTTTTGTTAACCGTTGTTCCTTGTTCCTTGGCCTGTACTTCTAGAACACCATGAAACTGCCAAAATGACATAAGAAAATCTGGCCCAGCTGGTGTGGCTCAATGGATTGAGTTCCCGGCTGTGAACCAGGGGTCGCTGGTTTGATTCCCTGTCAGGGCACATGCCAGGGTTGTGGGCCAGGTCCCCAGTAGGGGGCGTGTTAGAAGCAGCCCATTGATGATGTTTCTCTCAAAAACATCGATGTTTCCCTCTCTTTCTCCCTTCCTTCCCGTCTCTAAAAATAAATAAGCAAAATCTTTAAAAAAAAATTATGTGGTATCCTCTCACATTGTTTTATCATCACACTCTGATACTCCATATAACTCAGAAGAACCAGTAGATTTTAACTCAGTAGAACCAAATCTTTCTGCTTAATCAGGTAAAGTTCACAGAGAAGAATTTTCTGACTTTAAGTGCTGACTTTGACCGTCGTATGCAGTTGTTGACCCTCACA